TTCCTGGGAGCTTTTTGGGGTCTCTTGTGGGCCTTCGTAGGCCCCTTGGGGGCGTTTTGTGGGGCTTCTTAGGGGGGCTTTTTGTGGTTGTCTTACGGCGTTCCTGGCCCGTCTGACGCCGTCGGAAGCCGTCTTGGCTGCCTCTCTGAACCGACTTGGGGTCCTCTTGGGGTGCTTCATGACGGTCTTGAAGGCCACTTTGGGCGTTTTGTGGGTCTCTTCGGCCGTCTTGGGGCCCTCTTGGGACCGTCTTGGAGGCTTCTTGGGCCGTCATGGGGTCCTCTTGTAGGCCTTGGAGGCCATCTTGGGGCGATCTTGGGGGCCTCTGGGGCCGTCTTGGGCCGTCGGAATGCCGAACAGTAGCCCCAATCCTTCAAAAACCTAAAGGAAATACATGATTTTGGCCTCTTCGGGCCTTCCTGGAGGACCCTTGGAGGCCTCTTTGGCCATCTTCGGGTCTTCTTGTGCGCTTCTTGGCCCGTCTTGGACTATCTTGGACCATCTTGGCGGTATTCGAGGCACCTTGGGACCGTCTTGGAGTCATCTTGGGGCTATCTAGGGCTCTCTTGGGGCCATCTTGACCGTCTTCGAGGCATCATGGCCTTCTTGGAGGCCATCTTGAAGCCATTCTAAAGGAAAAAGCCGACGAGACACGCACCCCGGCTCAATGGACCGAAGCCCCAGGGGGAGTGCTAAGCAGAACCAAAAACCATCAGACGTCTGGCACGCTGGGCCCCCTGTGGCAAGACCACAAGGGGCGGCGGATCCAGTGGCCGTCGGTCAGACCAGCCAACGTGCCTGGGTCGTGGAGGGGGGCCTCTGTTGGAGGCTTGTGTAGGGTCTCTTGCGCGGCGTGTTGAAGGTATTTTTCGGGCCTTTTGGGGCCTCCTCGAAGTTGTTGGGAGCTTCCGGGGTCCTTTTCTGAGCCTTTAGGGGCATGTTGGGGGTCGTGAGGGGCACTTTTTGAGGAGAGGCTCCCAAGACCCCTTCGCTTCCCTTCTCTTGGCTGCTTTGGGCGGCCTCTTGGGCCGTCTTATTGGTCCTCCTGGGCCGTCTTGGGGCTCTCTTGGGGGCTTTTCGGGCCATCTTGGGGCTATGTTGGAACCTCCTAGGCCGTCTTGGGCGTTGTGAAGCCCTGAAAGCGGAGAGCGCTAACGGCAAACACGCACACGGGGAATCAGTCATTGTTGCTTCTTGGGCCCTCTTAGCGGTCCTCTGGGAGCACTCTTGGGCTGCCTTGGAAGTGTCGTGGGCCGTCTTGAAGCCATCTTTGATTGTTTGGGGAATGATTTTGGGTTGTTTCGAAGCTCTCTTGTGTTGTCTTTGCGATCGTTTTGGGCCCTCTTGGGCCGTCTTGGGGGATCTCCGGCCTCGAAAGGTGCATCGGGGAGCGTGTGCCCTCCTCCTCCCCCCCCCGGCCCCTCCCCTTCTGAAGCGGTTTTGGACCCCAGGAGAGGGGGGCAAGGGGGAGGGGAATCGCCAATCCAAATGTGTGGCTCCATGCTTGCGTGCAGTACGAATGTTACGATATAGTGCAATGCAATTCCCTGGCGCAACACATTTAGAATACATCTGCCCCTGCAATACATTTGCAGTGCGTCGCTCGCCCGCACTGCCACTAGCGGTTGTGCAGTGCCAGACAACGCGCTCCATACCAAGCGCGTCAAGTATCGATGCGAGTAGCGTCGCAGATGAACCGCCGAGGTCTTCGAACGCATTTCGAGACGCCATTCTGCCGTTTGCGCCGGTTCTTTGTATGTCCCGAGGCCGCTCGCATGCGCGCGCGTTGCAACGAAAGGCGTAAGGGCGCAATCGCTTCGCACGGGCCAGGCACATCTTTCCAGGCCAGCTAGCTCTGTGCCACCACCCCCTCTTAGCTGGACCTTGTTTGGGCTGCCCAGAACAATCGGCGGGAGTCAAATTACTGCAAGGTGTCGCCCGGCCAGGGTCTGGTGGATGTTTCGCGCGAGGGACGATGCTCATGACCAGGACGGCAGACGTTAGTGCCGAGCCCTAGCCCGGAGTGCGCACGCCCACTTGTCTGGCAACGCTGAGTCCAGTTGGAGTAGGCCTTGGTGGAGCCAGGGGAATCCATTGGGCCAACAATTGCACTTGGCCTCCTCTTGGGCGACGCTACGCTCAGTTGGAACACGACCAGTTGATGCCAAGGGGATCCATTGGGCCTACAGCTGGACTTGGCTTGTTCTTTGGCGACGCTAAATAGCAAGTCCAGTTAGAGTCAAGGGGACCCGCTGTGCCTACAACTTGATTTTGCCTCCTCTTGGGCGACGGTAAAGTAGCAGGTACAGTTTGAGCCAAGGGGATTCATTAGGCCTTCAGCTGGATTTCGGATCCTCTTGGGCGACGCTAAGTCCAGTTGGAACAAGTCCAAGTGGAGCCAAGCGGGCCCATTGGGCCTACAACCAGACTTGGCCTCCTGTTCGGTGATGCTAATTCCAGTTGTAACAAGGCCTGTTGGAGCCAAGGGGGTCCATTGAGCCTACAATTGGACTTGAGTACCTTTTGGGCGACGCTGAGTCCAGTTGGAACAAGGTCAGCTGGAATCAAAGCGATCCATTGGGCTTATAACTGGACTTTGCCTCCTCTTAAGCGACGCTGGGTCCATTTGGAGCAAGTCCAGGTGGAGCCAAGAGGATCCTCTGGGCCTACAGCTGGACTTGGGTACCTCTTGGGCGACTCTGAGTCCAGTTGGAATAGGTCCAGTTGGAGCCAAGGAGGTCCAATGGGCCTACACATGGACTTGGTTTTCTCTGGGGCGACGATAAGGCCAGTTGGAAAAAGTCCATTTGGAGACAGGGGGTCCACAAGGGGGTCCATTAGGCCTAGATCTTGACTTGGGTTTGTCTTGGGTGACGCTAAGTCCATTTGGAACAAGGTCAGCTGGAGTCAAAGCGATCCCTTGGGGCTATAACTGGATTTTGCCTCATCTTGGGCGACGCTGAGTCCATTCGGAACAAGTCCAGTTGGAGCCAAGAGGATACTCTGGGCCTACAGCTGGACTTGGGTACCTCTTGGGCGACGCTGAGTCCAGTTGGAACAAGTCCAGTTGTAGCCAAGGGGGTCCTTTGGGCCTATAACTGGTCTTTGCTTCCTCCTTGGGCGACGCTGAGTCCAGGAGTAGCATGTCAAGTTGGAGCCAAGGGGGTATTAGACCTACAACTGGACGTTTCCTCCTCCTGGGTGACGCGAAGTCCAGTTGGAACAAGTACAGTTGGAGCCAAGGGGATTCATTGGGCCTACACTTTGATTTTGCCTCCTCTTGGGCGGCGCTGAGTCGTCCAGTTGGAAAGCATCCAATTGGAGCCAGGGGGGCCCGTTGGGCCTACAACCGGACTTGGCCTCCTCATTGGTGACGCTAAGGCCTGCAACTAGATTTAGCATACTCTTGGGCGACGCCCAGCAGGAACACATCCAGTTAGAGCCAAGGGGAGCCATTGGGCCTGCAACTGAATTTGGCCTCGTGGGTGACGCTAAGGCCAGTTGGAACAAGTCCGGTTGGAGCCGAGGGGGTCCATTGAGCCTACAATTGGACTTGGGTACCTCTTGGGCGACGCTGAGTCCAGTTGGAACAAGTCCAGGTGGACTCAAGGGGACCACTGCCTACAACTGGACATGGCCTCCTCTTGGGCGACGCTAAGTCCAGTTGAAACAAGTCAAGGTGGAGCCTAGGGGATCCATTGGGCCTACACATGGAGTACGCTTCCTCTTGGGCGACGGTAAGTCCAGTTGGAACAAGTACAGTTGGAGCCAGGGGATCCATTGAGCCCTCAACTCGACTTGTGTTCCTCTTGGGCGACGCTGAGTCCATCTGGAGCAAGTCCAGTTGGAGCCAGGGGGGTCATTTGTGCCTATAACTGGTCTTTGCTTCCTCCTTGGGCGACGCTAATTTCAGTTGGAACACACCCAGTTGGAACCAAGGGGGTTCATTGGGCCTGCACCTGGATATAGTCTTTTCGGGCGACGCTATGTTCATTTTGAACAAGCCAGGTTGGAACCAAGGGGGTCCATTGGACCGACAACTGGACTTGGCCTCCTCCTGGGTGACGCGAAGTCCAGTTGGAACAAGTCCAGGTCGAGTCAAGGGGGTCCTTTAGGTCTACAGCTGGACTTGGGTACCTCTTGGGCGACGCTAAGTCCAGTTGGACAAAGTCCAGTTTGAGCCAAGGGGATCCATTGGGCCTACAACTGGACTTGGCCTCTCCTTGGGCGACGCTAAGTCCAGTTGGAACACGTCCGGTTGGAACCAAGGGGATCTATTGTGCCTACAATTGGACTTTGCCTCCTCTTGGGCGACGGTAAGTAGCAGGTACAGTTTGAGCCAAGGGGATTCATTAGGCCTTCAGCTGGATTTCGGATCCTCTTGGGCGACGCTAAGTCCAGTTGGAACAAGTCCAAGTGGAGCCAAGGGGGCCTACAACCAGACTTGGCCTCCTGTTTGGTGATGCTAATTTCAGTTGGAACAAGGCCTGTTGGAGCCAAGGGGGTCCATTGAGCCTACAATTGGACTTGAGTACCTCTTTGGCGACGCTAAGTCGAGTGGGAACGTTGAGCCTACACCTGGATGTGCCTCCTCATGGGCGACGCTGAGCCCAGTTGGACCAAATACAGTTGGAGCCAAGGTCCTCTGGGCCAACAACTGGACCTGGGTTCCTCTTGGGGGACGCTGAGTCCAGTTGGAACAAGGCTGGTTAGAGCCAAGGGGCCCATGGGGCCCACAACTGAACTCTTGTTCCTTGCGGTCGACGCTGAACCCAGTGGAACAAGGCAGGTTGGGGCCAAGGGGGTCCATTGGGCCTACAGCTGGACTTTGCCTCCTCTTGGGCGACGCTGAGTCCAGACGAAGAAGGCACGTTGAAGCGAAGGCGCTCTATCAGCTGGGACTCCACCTGGCTTTCGCCTCTCTCGAACACGGCCTCCTGCCCCACGATGCCCTGCAGCGGAGGCCCCGTGGCGGCCGATCTGTTTTGCCCTCCGGACAGGCGGAGGACGCCGGGAAGGCGTCCTCGAGCTCCGACTCCGACGGCTCCAGCAGCGACGAGGGCGGCGGCGCGGGCCAGAAGGAAGTGGCCTCCCTTACCCCCCCCTCTCTCCCCTGTCGGCCGACGATCGCCCGCGAGTGCAGATGCTGGGTCGTCAAACGATCCATCGTGCCTCTGGTGGGTCGGACTCCGATCTTTGATGAGTCCGACCACGAGGGCTTCGGGCATAGTCAACCCGCATAGGAAGGATGGGCAAGCTTCCCAAGGGTACCCTTGCATCCTTGCCTCCTCGGTCCATCCTTCGCCACTTCCGTTGGCCGCGCCCCGCTCGAGAAGCTCCGACATGGGCGTCCAAGGTCCTTGCACCTTGCATCCTTATCGCGCATCCTTCTAGTACGGGCTGACTGCAGGCCCTGTTCTTGACCGCCTTTGGGGCCAGCCCAAGCCGAGCCCCTGGCCCGCCTCCTGCGGGGGAGAGGTCGTGTGCGGGCTGGGCAGCGAGAGGACGGCCTGGCGGAGGGGCGGCACCGCCGCCACTCCGCCTCCCAGCGCGCGGGAGCGTCTCGGACCTTCCTCCAGGACGGAGGAAGCGCCTGGCAGGCCCAGCCCAGGTCTCTGGGCCTCCCAGATGTGGTCGGAGTATATGGGATGGGGTTGGCCCTTCCCCTTGCTGATCAGAGGTGTTGCTCCTCGGGACTCTTGACATTGTTGCCGCCGCGGCAGGACCAGGGCTGGCTGCGGCAATGTGGGTTCTGCACGTGCTGCCCCAACAACGTTACAGAACTTGAGCTGTTGCAGAAATAACTCTGGGGTCCGAGGATCGCGCCGCATCGCCAATGCATCGCCATGCGCACGTCGCCGGTGCAACGCCGACGCCGCCGATGCATCGTCGATGCATCTGCGATGCACCGGCGATGCGGCGCGACCCTCCGACTCCATCTACTCGGACCCCATCCAGGAGGCCTCTAAGGTCTCAGATGACATGTTATTTTCAATACTTTTTTCTCGATGTCGGCCTCTGGGGCCCGTGATCGGGCTCCAGGGCCCTCAATGATGGAGCAGGGACAAGCAACTACCCCCTGGGAATGGGTCGGTCCGTGCGTTGAAAAAACGGATCGTCGGATGTTTGGGAAGCTGAGGATAAATTGCTCGAGAGGGTTTCGGAGCGCCCTCAGCGTTCTGGGGCGCTCTTAAACGGCCGTATATGTTCAAGACCCGCCAGTTCTTAGAGATTCATGGATTTATTCTCATTCGGACTTATCCTGGTCCTGGCTTCGCCTTGAAGCACGCAACTTTCCTATGTTACCCTTGCGTCCTTCCCCTTCGGCCCATCCTTAGCCGCTTTCGCTGGCCGCGCCCCGCCCGCAAAGGGTCGACATGGTCTTCCAAGGCCATTGCATCCTTATCGTGCGTCCTTCTTACACGGGGTGACCGTACGGATAGAATGGTGGCGAATACCATTGGCAGTTGATGCCCGTGTTGAGCAGGACTCGCGGTCGGTGTCGCCGCAGACGTCGTCCATTTGGGACCAATTGCGCCTGCCCAGCAGCGGCCGGTGTTTGTTTTGGGCAACATGTCTGTTGGGCATCGTCTCCATTGCTTCCGTCTTCTCTTCGGGCGTACCAGTACTCGTCGGTCGTTGAACGTATGATCGTTTGGATTTCCAGATCCTAATTTCCTTTCGGCGCCTTCCTACTTCAATCATCGAGTGCGGAAGCCAAACCCTCCTTCACCGCCTTCTCTTTTCGTGTTTCTACCCGCTTCTTCCGATTGACGGGTAGAGGTCACCCTCAGGGATGTTAAGATGATTGCGCTTCGTGGGTTGCGGCCTGGGCTGGGGAGTTGCCATTCTCTAGGGCGGCCTCGCTAAGGCGCGAATATGAGCGCGCGTCACGCATCGTGCAGCGCGACGCGCGAAGATAGGTGACCTAGAAGCACTCGGGTTGGAGGTCGAGCCTCCATCCTTGGAGGTTGCTGAGCCTTCGGGACGAGGTCTTTGGGGCCCCTGGGCCCTAGGAGACCTCCGACAACATTGTTGAGTCCGCCGAAGAGACGCTGAACACGTCAGAACATCGCCGAAAGCAGCCGAAAATCTACGACCTCCCCGAGACCTCCAGGGGGGACACATTCTGCAGAAGACTCCTGAGATCGAGGACGCCATCTGCACACCTGCACCGATCCTGGGCCCAGGAGGAGCCCGGCCAGGATCCGTGCAGGTGCATCGCAGGCGGTAGGCGCTCTCTCGCGAAAAAATCCGCCGAAGACTCCGGAAACATCCCGGCGACCCTGCAATATTTGTCGATCCCCCCTGGAGATGCCCTGCTGTGCTGAGCTTGGGCAGGATCTTGAGGGCAAGCCAATGGTGGCGACGAGAGGGGCTCCCGGGGAGGCTAGGGCACGATCGGCGGCGAGCCCGTGGGGGAAGTGAGAAGGAGAAGACCTTCTCTGAAGGCTCGGGGAGTCCCGCTGGCCTTCTGCTGAATTTCCGAAGCCTTCCCAGAGACACAGAAAGCTTCTCAGAAGGCGACGGGGCTTCTGAGAAGCCCTGGCGCCTTCTGAGAAGGCGTTCTCCTTCTCACTCTCCCCCCTCGCTCGTCGCCGAGAGGAGGAAAGCCAAGAGCGTCGAACCTCGAACCTCCATCCAGTCTGCTCCTACCTTGTTTCCCTGGCCCCTCCCGGGGCCGTCCTGGCCGGCTGCTTTCAAGGTACGCCCTCCGAAGAGCCTTGATCCTCGAACCCCGATCTTCGATCCTCGGTCCTTGATCCTCGATTCTCGAATCTCGAACCTCGATCTCCGAGGATCGATCCTCGATAGCCGATCGACAGCCTTCAGTTAAGGTCAGACAGGCCCAGGAGCGGCACAGACCGCTCCAGAGCGTTCCGGAGTGCCTTGGAGCGGCCGCGGCGCCGGATACATCCTCCAGAACCGCCAGGTCTCAGAGACCCCCGATTCATCGGAAGCACCAGCCGCGGAGGAGAAGGAAGACAAGGAGCAGTGGGGAAGCTGGCAATTTCCATCCGCCGCTCATCGGATCCCTGGGCAAGCGGGAGGCCCCCGATCCATCCCGCTCCGAGCTTGTCCCGCTTTTGGCGTCGGCTCGTGAGGAGGCCACCGCCGAGAAGCGCAAGGCCAAGGCCCTGGCGGGCCTGAAGCTCATGGCCGGCGGCGAGCAGGGCGGCGAGGCCGCCGCGGCCTCCGCGGCCGCCCCGGACGGCGCGGAGGCCGCGGCCGCGTACAAGCTCCGCGGCGAGACGAACTCAGACCGCACAGTACGTCGGGGGTAGCGTCAGCCATCGGTGGTTGAAAGGGGGTACTTTGGGGTTCCCATGTTCCGAACCGCTTCAAGCGCCTTCCTCTTCAACGATCGAATGGCTTCACCTCTTCCGTCCTCCCAAGGTGGCGGACGGAGAGAGAGCCCAATCTGCTTTTAACGCCTTCCTACTTCATGTTTCTACCTACCTACTTCTTCCGACTGATGGGTAGGGGGGAAAAGCTCAGGGGTGCGTTGCATCGTCGAACCCCCGTCGCCCCTTGATCGCCGACAGGGGTACGACAGCCTACCCCGCCCAGGACTGCGGTTTCGCCATCGAGGGCCCATCGCCGATCTACCCGTGATGCGTCGCCGATTCCAGCTCGATGTTTCCCCTTCTGAGCCAGTCCACTGGTGGTGGCCAAAACTTGGGCCTCCGGTGGCCGTTCGGGACGATTCTGGCGCCCCTGGGACGCTCTCGGCGAGGCGCAGCTGCTGGAGAGCGTCCCGAGGCTGGAAAGCCGTCAAGAACCGACGATGGCGATCGAAAACCGTAGACCTCGAACTTGGAAACTTCACCCTCAATACGAGTACCGATGCCCTTCCCACAATACCTGTATCCCCTAACGTTCCCCTTCAATACTGGCACCGATGCCCTTCCTCGTGTTCGCCCTCCTGGGCTTTCTGGGGGGCCGTCGTCGCCGCGTCCAGATTCGCTGCGAAGTCCTGGTCAGAATGCACCTCGGACCAGGTCCGGGGGAGTAGCGGTATCAGTGTCTTTATGTTCCCCCACGTTCGGGGGAGGCTTGGTTCTCACCCCCCATGGGGGAACCCACGCCTTCGAGACGCCCCTCTCGGGAGGTCTTCGATACGATGGGTTCTCCCAGAGGGGTAGGAATACAGCTCCCCCAGTTGTGGCTGGTCGGAGCTCTCTCCATCTTCTTCGGCGTCGCCGTCGTCGTCTGTGTCTGTGTCTGTGTCTGTGTCTCAGTCTGTGTATGTGCCGTATGTGCCTTTGTCTGAGTCTGTGCCTGTGCCTGTGTCTGTGTCTGAGTCTTTACCTGTTCCTGCTCTTGTCTCTGCGTCGCCGTCTCTGTGTCTGAGCCGTCGCCGTCATCAATCTCGTCGTCGTCTTCGTCGTCGTCAATCTCGTCGTCGTCGTCGTCGCCGTCGTCGTCGTGGTCGTCGTCGTCGTCGTCGTCGTCGTCGTCGTCGTCGTCGTCGTGGTCAACGTCGTCGTCGTCGTTTGCGTCGTCGTTTGCGTCGTTGTTTGCATCTGCGGCGTCGACGTCGTTGTTTGCTTGCGTCGTCGTCGTCGTCGCCGTTTGCTCCATTTCCTCGGTTCTCCCTCTTCCGTTGCTCCTCTCTCCGAAGACGGGCCTCGGACGCCCCAAGATGACCCCACGGTTGCTGAGGTGGCCCCCGGTGGACCCAGGATGGCGCCACGAGGCCCCCTTCGCCTGCTCCTGCTCCTCCCCCCCCCTCCTCACTGCCTCCATGCCTCCATGCCTCCCTCTCGTGTGCCCCTCCCTGCCCTCCCTCCCCTCCAGTGCCTTCTTCCGTCCCTGTCCCCATGCCTCCTCCATCTCCCCGTCCTCTGTCCTCCTGCGTCCTTCTCCGTTCCCTTCCCTCCTCTCTCTTTCCCGCAAGGCTCAGCGAGAAGAAGAATTCGGGCTTCGGCCACGTCCTCGAGGACCAGGTTGCGGCGCTGGACCAGAAGGCCGTCGCGAAGGCCAGGCCCCCCACTCCCGCTGTTCCCACCCCTGTTGCTCTTCATTCACTTTCTCGTTCTCGTCCTCACTCCAAAATGTCTCCCGCCTCCCTCTCATCATCATCACCATTATGATCAGCGCCACCATCACCACCATCGCCATCACCACCAGCAATACCATCATCATCATCATCATCATCATCATCATCACTATCATCACCTTCATCATCATCACCTTCAGCATCACCATCATCACCATCATCACCATCATCACCATCATCACCATCAGCATCATCATACTCATCAGCACCACCACCATCACCAATCCTACCACCACCACCACCACCACCACCACCATCATCATCATCATCATCATCATCATCATCATCATCATCATCATCATCATTATCATCATCACCATCACCATCACCAACACCATCACCATCACCATCACCGCCATCATCATCACCAACATCATCTTCAGCATCATCACCAACCTCACCATCGTCATCATCATGATCATCCTCACCTTCATAATTATCATGATGATCAGCACCATTATCCTCACCGTAATCCCCCTCCCCACCATCAACACTAACACCATCGTCGCCACCATCATCATCGTCATCATCATCATCATCACCATTGCCATCATCATCATCATCATCATCATCATCATCATCATCATCATCATCATCATCATCCTCATCACTATCACCATCATCGTCATCATCATCACCATCGTCATCGTCATCACCACCACCATTACCATCAGCATCATCAGCATCACCATCATCATCAGCATCATCACCCCGATCATCAGCATCAGCATCATCATCATCCGCATCATCACCATCATCGTTATCATCAACATCATCACCATCATCTTCATCATCCTCATCCCCATCCTCATCATCATCACGATCTCATCGTCATCATCAACATCATTGTCATCGTCATCGTCATCGTTATGTTCATCGTCATCGTCATCATCATCGTCATCGTCATCGTCATCGTCATCATCATCATCACCATCATCATCATCATCGTCGTCATTGTCATCATCACTGCCACCACCATCATCATCATCATCACCATCATCATCATCATCATCATCATCATCATCATCATCATCATCATCATCATCATACTCATCATCATCATCATCATCATCATCATCATCATCATCATCATCATCATGGCCACCGCCATCATCATCAGCATCATCATCAGCATCATCATTATCATCGTCATCCTTCTCTTCCTCATCATCCGCCTCCTCCTCCTCCTCATCATCATCCGTAGCCATTTTGGCTCATGGCCGACCAGGGCTTCTTTGACCGCGAGTCCTTTGGGTGTGTTGAGCGGTAGGACCGCTCTGGCGCCAATGGTCAACATACATGTTCTCCGCCTTCGAGTGGGGCTGGCCCCGATCTGGAGGCCAAGCCCCTGGACGCCAAGCTCATCGATGAACGGGGCAATGCAGCGTCGGCAAGGGCGTCAGCCAAGGCGAGCCAGGCGGCATAGGACGCGCTGCTGATGCAGCGGGCAGCACAAGTAGCACCGCCACCAGCAGAAGGAGGAGGAGGAGGAGGAGGAGGAGGAGGAGGAGGAGGTGGAGGGGGAGGAGGAGGAGGAGTAGGAGGAGGAGGAGGAGGAGGAGGAGGAGGAGGAGGAGGAGGAGGAGGTACACCACGCCACGAACTCGGGAGCACGCGTCAAGAGGTTCGACGGGCTGCTCGAGCAGGCCAGAGGTATGCTCGCCTCGCAGAGGCCTACGGCAAGCTGGTCGGCCAGCAAAATCGCCAACGAAGCCGATGAGAGCGAGGAGCGTTCCGACGCCGGCACGGGGGAGGACGCCCAAGAGCTCAACGTAGCGTTGGACGCCCTCATGGACGAATCTGGTAACCCCATGCCCACGATAATAATGTACCCCCCCCCCCCCCCTTAAGTCGTTAGAGTTTTTTATCGTCGACCAATAAGAGTTTGGTCGGGGGCGCGGGGCGCGGAGGCCAAACTTCATTATCACCTCGGAACGTTATGTTGAGATAGCAAGATCAAGTTGTGTTGAAATAGCAACATCAAGCGAAGCGATCACACTTTTTTCGGGATGTCTCAAGCGAAACCAAGAATTTTGGGAGGCAGGCTCAAACGAAACGAGCAATGTTTCAAGGATGTCTCAAGCGAAACCAGTAATTCTGTGAGGATGTCTCAAGCGATTCGAGAAGCTTGTCGAGGATGTCTCAAGCGAAACAAGCATATACTCGAGGATGTCTCGAGCGATTCGAGAAGCTTGTCGAGGATGTCTCAAGCGAAACAAGCATATACTCGAGGATGTCTCAAGCGAAACAAGCATATACTGAAGGATGTCTCAAGCGAAACGATACGTTTCTTAAGGATGTCTCAAGCGAAAACAACAATTCTGTGAGGATGTCTCAAGCGAAACCAAGAATTTTGGGAGGCAGGCTCAAACGAAACGAGCAATGTTTCAAGGATGTCTCAAGCGAAACCAGCAATTCTGCGAGGATGTCTCAAGCGATTCGAGAAGCTTGTCGAGGATGTCTCAAGCGAAACAAGCATATACTCGAGGATTGCTCTTTTTCTTCCTCTTCTCTTCTCCTTCTTTTTTCTTAATTTATATTTTTATTTCTTTATATATTTCATTATTTCTTTATTTTTTTCTCTCTCTCTCCCCATGCCCCCCTGAACTTGTTTATCCCTGGTGTTGATTATCCATGGCAAGTGAGGCACATGAGCTACCCTACACGAGCACTCAAAAAAATCAATTTTCAGAAAGCGCTTGTAATTAAATCTAATAGATTTGGAACTTGAAATGTTTGCTCTTTTCTTCCTCTTCTCTTCTCCTTCTTTTTCTTAATTTATATTTTATTTCTTTATTTATTTATTTATTTCTTTCTTTTTTTCCTCTCTCTCCCCATGCCCCCCTGAACTTGTTTATCCCTGGGGTTGATTATCCACGGCAATGAGCTCTACACGAGCACTTAACAATTTAATTTTCATAAAGCGTTTGTAATAAAAAATAATACATTTGAATCTTCAGATTTTTTGTTTTATCCTCCTTTCCTCTCCTCTTCTACTTCTCCTCCTCATTTCTTCTTGTCCTTTTCCTTTTTAATATTTCTTTTATGTATTTCCCTCAACTCTCTCTTTGTTTTCTTTATTTCTCTCTTTATATCTTTCTCTCTCCCCATGCGCCCCTGAACTTGTTTATCCCTGGGGTTGATTATCCACGGAAAGTGAGGCACATGAGCTCCTACACGAGCACTTAAAAAAACAATTTCATAAAGCGTTTGTAAATAAAATATAATAGATTTGGAACTTGAAATGTTTGCTTTTCCTCTTCCTCTCCTCTTCTACTTCTCCTCTTGAATTTTTCTTCTCCTCTTCATTTTCATTATTTCTCTCTCTCTCTCTCTTTCTATCTCTCTGTCTCTCTCCCCCCCATGCCCCCCTGAACTTGTTTATCCCTGGGGTTGATTATCCATGGAAAATCTGATAGGTTTTTTATTATTTCCTCTCTGTCTTTTTTCTCTCTCTGTTTCTCTATCTCTCTCTCCTCTTGCTCCTCTCCTGTCTTCTCCTTTCCTCTCCTCCTCTCCTTCCTCTCTTGCTTTTCATTATCTCCTCTTCTTCTCTCTCTCTCTCTCTCTCTCTCTTTCTCAATTTTCATAAAGCGTTTCTGATGGATTTGAAACTTGAAATTTTCCTCCTCCTCTATCTGTCTTTCTTTCTATATATATTCTCTTCTTCTTTTTATTATTCTTCTTCTTTATTATAAGTTAGTTTCTGCGAAATGTGTTATATCTTTCTTATTGTTAATATATTTTTTTCTTTTTTTCCTTCTCTCTCTCTTCTCTCTCTCTCTCTCTCAGCACAACCCCCCCAGCACAACCCTCCAGCACAACCCTCCAGCACAACCCTCCAGCACAACCCTCCAGCACAACCCTCCAGCACAACCCTCCAGCACAACCCTCCAGCACAACCCTCCAGCACAACCCTCCAGCACAACCCTCCAGCACAACCCTCCAGCACAACCCTCCAGCACAACCCTCCAGCACAACCCTCCAGCACAACCCTCCAGCACAACCCTGCAGCACAACCCCTCAGCACAACCTCTTGAGGTTTATTATCGTCGGCCGTTTTTTATCATCGGCAGTGGTCGATAGCAACTCCTGGGCTCTCCGGGAACACGGCGGCACGCAAATGATACGCATGTTTTTGAAACGCTTCATTTTGATATATATATATATATGTATATATATACATATATTATTTAATTGCGAATTCCATTGAAATCTTTTCGAATTTGCGAAATCGAGCCGTCAGGCGCTTGAATGCCGCACTGCGTTCGAGATTTAGGCGAAAGCGTGTGCGACGCAATTTTCTCATGACACGCATTTTTTTGAAAAACCTTATTTTGACAAAAAATACTATATTTGGTTGCGAATTCCATTGAAATCCTTTCGGAATTGCGAATTCGAGCCCGCACGCGCCTGAATGCCACACTGCGTTCGATATTCGGGCAAAAGCGCGTGCGACGCAACTTTCTCATAAATGCGTCGCGTGCTTAAATCTCGAACGCAATGTGGCATTCAAGCGCCTGACGGCTCGATTTTGCAATTTTGAAAGGATTACAATGGAATTCGCAATTAAAAACAGTTTTTTTGTTTTCCGAAAAAAATGCGTATCATTTGCGTGCCGCCGTCTTCCGGGAGAGCTCAGGAGTTGCGATTGACCATTGCCGATGATAAAAAACTGCCGACGATAATAAACCTCAGCCGATGATACAAACTGCCGACGATCATAAACCTCAGAGGAGCGCACGGCGGGAGAGAGAGAGAGAGAGAGAGAGAGAGAGAGTCTCACCTCTCTCTCTCTCTCCCCCTCCCTCCCTCTCTCCTCTTTCTCTCACTATCTCTCTCTGCTCAAGGTGAGCTGCTGAAGCAGAGCTGCTCAAGCAGATGGCTGCTCAGAGAGCAGAACCAGACAATGAGACCTTC